CAATTTCAGAACACCCTAGACACTCGACAGCTGTTAACTCAGCTTTATTCATCAAGCGTATCCTGACTACCTACTGGAGGCTGGCTACCATGCCAAGAATAGAAGCATGTTTAGAGAGGGTCTGAGAGCTCTAGAGAGAAGCAAAGCCACCATTCCCTTCCTGGGACCTTTGTAGCCTTGTGGAGAGTTCAGCCCCAACTAACAGATCAGGGTCAACCCAGATCATTCCCAGAATTGGGAGGAGTCTTCCATGCTTGTTAACGTTATGAGGCTTCTTCCAGTTGTGCAGCTTAGCTTTAGGAGAGTCACAAATGGAACATGACAAACTCCCATTACCATTAACATTAGTGAGTTGAATTGTCAGTGAGCACAAGGCATCTGCTGCTCGCGCCGACTGGCTGCACAGTATCCACCGAGCACGGGGCGCCTCTATCCATAGGTGCTCGGGAGAACACAGCGAGGACAGAGTCATTCCAACAGGAACCTGAGGTGCCATTGGTACAGAAACCCACCTGGTAGAGCAGTTTTTCCAAGATATGGAGCCTCGCTCTTAGTTCCACTTTGGTCTAAATCTGAGCCCTGAAACTTCTTCAGTTTTTTTATACATGGGTTTTGTCATCTCTAAACTAGGGGTCAGAACTGTACCTCTGGCCCGGGGGCGCTGTGAGGATTCAGTCATGTCAAGTGCTGAGCGCTCTGTTTGGGGCTGGAAGGGTAAGTAAAGTCTGGCGGCTGGGATGGTCTATGGGTGAGGCTGTGTGCTTACAGCCAGGCGCCGGACCCCACCTGCCTGCTGGCTGCTCAGCCGTCACATGGAGCAGTGACACCGACCTTGTGCTCCCTCCCTTGCCTGATGGGGACATGGAACAGATCATGGAAGTGAGGCACCAGAGCTGAGCAAGTACTTCACTCAATCAGCTGTGTTCACCCTGGCTGCATATTAGAATCTTCTATGGCGCTTTTCAACATTAACATGTTTTTTTAAATTTTTTGTTTTGAAAAAGTTTTTTTTAAAAAGATTTTATTTATATGTCAGAGAGTGAGAGAGAGAGAGAGAGCACAAGCAGGGCGAGCGGCCAGCAGAGGGAGAAGCAGAATCCCCACTGAGCAGGGAGCCCGATGTAGGACTCGATCCCAGGACCCTGGAGATCATGACCTGAGCCGAAGGTAGACACCCACTGAAGGAGCCACTCAGGCGCCCCTTGTTTTGAAAAAGTTTCAAACTTACCCAGAAAAAGTTGCAAAAATAGCACAGAGAGTTCCTGTATACCCTTCACCCAGCTTCCCCTAATGGTAGCATTTTGCATCATTATGGTCCAATGATCAAAACTAAGAAATTGACAACAGTGCAGAACTCTTACCCAAGCGACAGACTTTATTCTGATTTCACCAGTTGTCCGGCTGATGTCCTGGAGCTCCTCCAGGACCCATGCCAGGATCCCTTTGCATTTACTTATTCCGGCTCTCAGTCTCCTCCTGTCTGTGACCGTCCTTCAGCCTCTTCTTATCTTTCACAACGTCATTATAGCCGGAGATCCCTCACTTTGGATTCGTGTGATGTTTTCTCATGATCGGATTGAGGCTGTGCATTCCTGGGGAGGGTACTACAGAAGCAGTAAGCCCTTCCCAGCAGCCCGCATCAACCGACACATGATGTCAAATGTCTTATTACTGGCAATGTTAACCTTGATCGCTTCGCTAAGGTGGTGTCTGCTGGGTTTACTCACCGCGAAGTTACTGTTTTTCCTTTTGTCATTAATAAATATCTTGGGGGAGATATTTCATGCAAATAACCTATTTCTCTTCATATTTTTTCCCACGAATGTTTCATTCATCAGCACACCTGGCCTGCAACAGTTACAAGGCTGTTTTAGTGGTGATTTCTCTATTCCCTCATTCTCTCTGGATTTGTTAATTGGAATTCTTCTGTAAGGAAATGCCGTTTCTTCTTTCTCATTAATTATAGATTCAGTTATTTATTGAAATCCTGATGGACTTATGGGTATTTCTTTTATTTTATCGGTTTTATAATCCAATACTACCATTATGTATTTTGATACTCAAACCTAAGTCACTTTTTTAAAAATAGCCGTGCCTGGGACCCTCTCCCAAATCAATTAAACCCAAATCTGTGGAGGTAGAACACAAGCCATGATATTTCTTTAAAGCTCCCTTTGTGCACCGAATGTTCCTTCTTTCACTACTCCCACCGCCCCACTCTGCTTCCTCCCTAAAGAAATCAAAATCCTTCGGCACATCATTTTGCAGGATTTATTCCGAGGTGGCCCTTGGAGTGCTGATGACAGGCTGCGGCTGTGGCCCCTTGGGAAACTGGCTCTTCGATGATCTCTGCCACCCCCCGCTCCCATACCTTCATTCCCTCAGCTTCTGCTGGCCCCCAAACAGGAACTTGGGGGCCGGAGTCCTCCTTTACAATGATAGCCTCCTGATGTGGAAATTCTGCTGATATTTATTGCTCTTGGGTCAGGTGGAGGAAGAAAAAGCTATGGCAGCCTTTAGGAAGTCAGGTTTGAGAAAAGGCCTAAGGAATTATGACCTTGCACTAGGAAGGGCTTCCTGAACGCAACAGTGGATTACAGCGGATGGCAGGCTGTTCCTGCAGGTGCTTTGGCTGTGCCTTCCCAAGGCCCACAAAGCACTCCTCGGCCATTTGGGCAGAGTTTTAAGGTGTGGCAACAACCCCACTTATTTGGACCCTTTTGAAATCATAACAATTAAATGTGTAAATGTAATTCTCCCTCTAGGGGATCAATAGGGAGCCAGATAAGTTTTTATTCCAAGAGAAGGTCTTCCTGAATAAGGAAATTGATCTTCTAGCATCCTTTAGCTGGTTTCCAATTTCTCTGTATTCCAAGGTGCCAACTCAATCTCATGATATTTTCAGAAGCTTGTTTCTTTCATCAGATTGATGCCAGTAATATGTTCAAAGTGCAGATAAATCAGATTTAAAACCTAATTGATATTGGAATAAAAGCTTAACCCCAAGTATACCATTGCCACAGTGAATTTGGCATGGTTCCCCAAATTATGCCATATGAACCTGGGGACATTTGTCTCATAAATTTCTATCTTTTCTTGTTTATTCTTTTCTTCATGGTGGTCAGTTCCAACTTGAATTCTTCCTAGAATGCATTTTCTGCATTGAAAATACCCTCTATTAAAATTTTAAGGGGATTCCAATTTCTGGAGTAAGCAAAGAAGTGAAATCTATATTAACTAGACAGGATTGGATCTGATGTTTCACGGTAGAACACAGAGATACTTCTGAGACAAGCATGATAGAGATGCAAAGTATTAATTCAGCATAGCATCCAACTCAGGATGAGGAATGTTTAAATGCTGCATGACAAAAATAAATCTCTCTTACTGGAAGAACTTTAACCTCAGAAGAGAGGCAGCTCAAAAGGTTTATTGTCAGAGCCACAAACTTGACACCCCTCTTGATAAAAGACTTCGATCCCTGACCTGAGTAAAGTTGCTACTCTAGAAGCTATTTGTGTATTGATCTCCTCTGAAGAAAACAAATAGGTGTCTAGCAGGATGAACATCTCTGGGAAACAAAGTTACTGTACTTAGAGTAGAGCCCGAGTGACCGCAGTGGGGACCCCAGGGCACCAGGTATGGAAAGGTGATTTGCCTGAGCCTTTTAAGAGAAGCACTAAAGCTTTGCATCAAAACCAGTTGGTGAATGTAGCTCAAGCAGGAAGGTTTACCTGCTGGGATACCTTGACTAATTTTATCATCTAGACTTCAAGATGGAAGAGGTGGTGTGGATTGGACTAGAACGGAAACCGGTGTGAGACCAGGGCTCTTTGGGGGTTAGATATTTTAGTAACCCTACAACAGGGCACCCAACCACCTCAACACATTAATCCTTTGCACACTACCTTGAAGAAATGAGCCAGTGCTTCTCATTTGAGGCGAAATAGGGATAGAGAAACAAAAACTACTGGCACTATTGGGCTATAATGCGAGGATTTGAGGATTTGGAATTTCTGAATTTAGAGACTCTGGATTTGAGTCCATCATCTACCTAGAGCAACAAGAAGAAAATGGTGGCATTGTGCTTCCTGTCTTTGTTCCGTGGGATCAAACTAGGATCATCAACTTTCCATGTTGGAGGAGAAATTGTCTTTAGAGGTTTGCTGTTTACCTGCTAACTCCATATAAATTTCTTTCAACAACAGAAATTCAAAAATTATTTATTGAGTACCTACTAAGAACAAGACAAAAGCTTGCCCTCATGAACAGATTATAAACAAGTAAACTACAGCAATTCTGGAGAGGGATTAATGCTGTAAGGAAAATAAACCTGACAGAGAGAAAGAGAGAGCAAAAGGATAGGCGTCAGGTAAAGCCTCTCTGAAGAGGACACATTGAAGTCAATACCCAGCGGTGAGAAGGAGTGAACTGGTCAGGAGCACGTTACAACCAGGTGACTGCCTTCACGTGCCAAGACCTGAAGGTCAAGCTTGGCAGAGTTGATGACCAGAAAGGCCAGTATGGCTGGAGCACAGTGGGCAAGGCTGGGTTAGGAAAAGGCTCTGGAAAGAACCAACTCATGTAACACCCAATAAGGCATGCTTTTATTATAATTAGAAGCCTCTGGAGGGTTTGGGGCGGTGGGGTGGGGAGGGAGATGTGGTGTGTTTTTGTTTTGTAAATATCTTTGTAGCTTATTATGCTGAATAGACTATACGGGCAAGAGTGGAAGAACTATAGTGGGGTCTTAGTAGTATATAGTTTCTAGATCCCAAACACCTGCAGGTCCTGTGGTATACTTTTAATCTCTCTCTTTGATAATGATGCTCAGTGCATTTATTTCAAAACCTCAAAACCTTTCCACTTGCTTTTGTGTACACATCAGAAAAACCCTTTGTTGCGTTTTAACTTGGAAATATGCGTTGTGCTTATCAGCTTAACCAGTCAAAGGAATTTTTTTTTTCCCTTTACTTAGTCATCTCATTTTCCTCCTACAGGGATCCCAATCACCCTTCAGTACCTTATCACTATTATGAACCGTTTGGACCTGATGAATGTACAATGTACCTCTCGCACGAGCGAGGACGGAAGGGCAGTCATCATCGCTTCATCACGGAGAAACGCGTCTTTAAGAACTGGGCACGGACATTCAACATTCACTTTTTTCAACCAGACTGGAAACCAGAATCACTTGCTCTAAAGTCTCCGGAGAATAAACCTGGGTTCTGAGCAATGAGGGTGCCAGATCAAAATCCCAAGTACCTACGGTATCAGACGCCGGGGCACTGAACTTCCGGAGCCAGCAGACACAAAAGAGGGACAGAACCGGGAGAGGACACTCAATAAGCAGCATGTACAGATGCCTCGGAGGCGTGACTCCCAAACGGTGCAGTTGGTCTGTAAGGAGAAAAATGCCAGAATTAATAGGTCCTCCTGAGTGTCATCCCTTGCAAAAGGGGTTACCTTAAGAGCGAAACACCCATGTCAGGTGATGCTGCCGTGGCTAAAAAACAGTCTGGATCTCTTTATTGCCTTCAAAACTGAAACACGAGCAACTCAACCATGTTAGTTGTGCTCCTTTATAGAAATGCCACATCGAAGGACGTTTTTCTATCAAGTTGTTGTATCCTAACCTGATCTATAATCTTTGTCATCTATTGGGCTCTGTATGTGTGATTTGTAAAAAGCAGTCTGAAAGTATGGACATGATTTCTGAAGAGCACATCTCCACTGACTTTCATAAAGCAAATGCCCAATATTTATTTATTAAGAGTTTTTTAGTGTAACTCTAGGCCAGTATTTTTATAGATGATGATTATGTGGTAATTTATCCTTCTTAACTCTTTTAACACTGAGTGATGGTTGGAAGACAACTAGAATGGGGCTGGTGAGTGACTGGGTTCACGACGCTCATTGTTAGCATGCGGTTGGCTTGGAAATGTCATGTTGTGTTTTTTGAACCCTTAGGCTTCAAGAAGAGCTATGACATTTTCTAACGTAAAGAAATGCTCCAAATGACAAAACTGAAAACCAAAAACTGTGTTATTATAACAAAAAGATACTAACAAAAGAAACTTAAAGATAGTTGTCTTTAGTGATAGTTGGTGTAGGTTACTTGGCATAAACCCTAGTTTTCTCGTCTTAGAATGATGTCCCTGTACCAGATGACTGCCTAAGTTTCCTTCCAAATCTAAAATTCTGTAAGCCTCTCATTGACCCATTTGAGGACCTTGCACTCGGAATGATGTGGTTTCTACGTAGCAAAAGCCTGATTTTAGGGGGTCTTTTTATTCTACCATCTATCTCCCTCTGTGGTTAAGAACATAGCTTCCTCACTGGTCCCCATTGGCTACTGTCTACCCCATGCTTCTCTGTGTTTTTTGCACCTAAAAAGGTGGGGGTGAGGGGGCAAAAAAAAAAAAAAAAACTAAGAGAGAACCTCTGTGGTATTCCCTGACTATAGGAGCAAGGAACAGCCTTTCTCTGAGTCTATGAGAAGGAGAAGAGAACACAAGGAGATTCCCTATCATATGACTTATTTATCCTGTGAACTATTCAGATTCACTCCTTGCAAGTCACAGCCATTCCCTGGTCTGGAGGAGTCTGAAGGACTTATTTTATTCAGAGCCAAGATAGCAGTATGAAGGACCTTCATTTAAGCAAGTGAAATTCTTCAAAAATAGTCTTTTTTTAAAAAAAATATACCAGTGTTTTTTTTCCCACATGACTTAGAAGGCATGCATTTTTTTTTCCAATGCCAAATTCGAAGGCACCAGCAAGTATTACGTATGGAGACTGACATTGTTTTACAGAACATGACCTAACCTGTGATTAAAGGTTTTTCACATTGCCACTTCCTTTTCCTTTCCTTAATTAGTACTAAGATTCCATTCCCTTGCACTAACTAGTACTACTAATTATATGGGGTACTGTGGTTGGGGTGCAAACACAGTCCGGATATTTATATGGCAGAAACAAAGTTGGGATTATTGTGGTGTAGCTTGAGCTGTTAAATTGTACAATTGAAATGTATGTGCTCTCTTTAAACTTTATCATAGTTTCTAAAGAGACTGTAGAATTTTATTCCAGCACAATCTCTTATGCAGCATGTACTCTGGACACACAATACTTTGTGTGATGTATGAAAGAGTATGAATTTCATGTGATGGATTTATAGGCCACCTTTACCATCACTTGAAGACATTACGTTGTTCAGATGTAAGTAGCTCCTTTAACAAGTTTTATTTTTATGGAAATTTGGAAAAGTGTAATTGGGACATGCAAAAACGTAACTGTAATACCTAATCTAATAATATCTCAAATGTCTGTGTTATCTTTAGATTTTAGGATTTGGTTTTTGTTTTGTTTTGTTTTTTTAAAAAAGACCATATGATAACTCCATCTTTTCTGTAACTTCTTCCTCCTTCCCAAATACTCAAAAGAGTGTAAAGCAACCAAATTCTGAAATCCCTAGCTTCACTGAGAAATAGCTTAAATCTAAATGTAGCTAACATATGGGAGTATAGGAATTTATATTTTTAAAAATATGGTATAAATAGGTATAAGACCAATCACTTGGGCAGTGGTTTTTATTATAGCATTTCAAGAAAATGCCTAGAATTCTGAATAGATTGTGCCGACGGAGCTGGCTGTGGGCAACTGAATTCTTATCTTGCCACTATCATTTCCTGACTCTCCATCTCAACACCATCCAACACCATTAAACATCAACTCTGATAGAAAAGATGGCAACAGAACCATGTTTACAGACCTCAGTGATTTCAATATCCAATTGTGTTGGGAGACTTAGTCATACTCATTAGGTTAGACACCTTTTTCTTCTTTCCCAGCTGTGTCATCAGCTACCTCCTAGCTTTTAAGACCCCAGTAATACAAAGCCACAGCTGGTCGATCCATGGCCTGTGTTATTTCAACGCAAGAACATTTGGCAGAGGCCATTACAATAGATAGCCATTATGGGCAAAGATACAGGAATTCACAAACAAAATCAATCACTCCAAATGGCCCATAAAAAGAAGAATCTTACATTTAATATTCTACAGTAAATATTCACCCAAGAAAGCGTACATTAAAAGAACATTAGGAGGTAAATACTCAGTGTGCTGCATGGGGACTTTGCTGTGTGATTTCCATTATGGTTAATGGGTGTTTGGTAACTAAGTCCCTGTGCTTCACTAACCCTGGGATGTGCTCCTAAGGGCTAGACATAAAACCAGAGTGATTCAGGAACTCCCAAGGTCCTAAGATTTCAGAGTGAGAGCTTTTCTTCAAAAAAATAAATGAAAGCAAAACACAAAATACTGTACCTGAAAGAGAAATCGGTGTGTGGTCTCTCGGAATCCTGAGATTACTGTCAGGTATGTGCATCAGATTCCAAACAACACCGCTCAGGACAGATTGCCTTTGTCTATTCTCCATTACCGATCTATTTTAATTACATTAAAATTGAAGGATATAACCACATTTTGAAGTAAAAACTCACCTCAAAAGTTAGAATTATTGATTTGGAAGCTAAATGAATGCTAAGTGAAAGTGAAAGGAACAAACTGGAATTTTGTCAGAATTCATACAGTCTTATGTGAACATATCCATACCTATTTAATACCCACCCAAATAGTTGCCCTTATGTAGAGTGACCTCATTTCAGATATATACCCTGAATTCCACTGGGGTGGTGATTCGGACTGTTAATTCAGACTTACTCTGATATTCCTCTTCTCTCTGCGGTGTTAGGACATGAAGGTAACACTCCTACTTAATTCGTACCTGAGCCGATTCTTCCTTCCATCTTCACTGCTTCTCTCTGGAACCTCGATCCCATCCTTCTGCCATCATTTTCTCCTGATTGTCTTCTTTTGTCTACACTGGGCTCTTCAACCAGCGGTCTTTGGAGGCTGTTAAGGTCTTCCTTGTAGGTTTTTAAACTAGAGACCTACCTGGGGAACAGGTTTGGGGTGGACCCTGCCAGGCAATAAGCATAGTAGGTGGGGGGACTACATTTGGCTCCAGGACTAGGTTCTTCAGAAGCGCCGTCCTGGTTCTCCCCAAGCTGGAGGAAGGGGGTGGGGTGAGCTTCAAGACAGACTGTCAGTGCTAAAACCAGGACAAGTCCCAGGCAAACTGGGACAGTGGGTCACCCTACTGAAAAGCCACCTCAAAGAGAACTATAACACTAAGGCACTGGGGGGAAAAGTGAATCCACTGCCCAGGTTCTAGCACATGCCAGAAGATACTTTGGAATGGAGAGAGGTGAGAGAGTGTCTGTAGGCTTGAAAATGAAGAGAAACAAGCCCTCTATTGCAGCTCACTCATCCCCACCTACTCAGGGCATTGAGCCGCCATAGAAAAGCAAAAAAAGGCTGCGATCCTGTTTGTTTTTACTCAGTGCCCTAATATTCTATTCTACCTAGGATTGTTCTCGTCTCTTTATGTATTTGTCCTATTAGTCTAATTAGACTGTAAGCTCTTTGAGAGCAGGGACTGTTTCTCCTTTGTCTTTGTAGCCCCAAGCCTAGTTCAGGGCCTTGCACACAATAGGCGCTCATTAAATGTCTGTTGTTGATGATGACTTCTTAATGGTGGCCCATTGGATTGGTAACCGGTAGATATTCTTCCATTTGAGAAGTGCAGGAGACAGAATAGGTGATGAAGTAGTTAAATTTTAAGTGGGTTTTTACAGGGTCAGTCCTCAAACCTATAACGTTTTTAATCAACAGAACTGACCTAGATTTGGATAGGATAATGTAGCTGAATTCACTAGGTTTGTGAATGTTGGCTGTACTGAACACACAAAGTGAAGTTCAGCAAGCTTTGTGTTCTCGCTGTTAGCAAGCTGCTCTTAGCACAAATTAAATTTAATATTGACAAATGCTATAACACATGTAGAAGCAGCCCAGGCTCTGACTCATCTGGTTCAACTACAAAAGGGAGGCTAAAATGAGATGAATTCTAGCCTATCTTAAACTTGACAGCTTCCCAAAGCTGCTGGGAATTCCAGCTGGTGATTTCTGAGGGTCTATAACAATTAAGTACACATTTATCTTAAAATCAAAATGAAACAAACAAAAAACCCCCAAAACCCTTTTGTTTCCATGAAGCAGATCCCAAATGCTTTTATCCCTACCAGAACGTGAGGGAAAAGGAGAACTCTTGGGAGAAGCTGCCCTCAGGTGGAGCACCCCGGTCACCATCTTGAGTTCCTAACTGGCCAGCATCTGGTGTCCAATTACCTCCTGGTTACAAGACAGGGCAAGACGGAACCAAGTCAGTAAAGGTGAGCCAGTGGCTGACGGGGGCCTCCACAAGGAACTGTAATCATTACCTTCTTGAACATGTGGACACTCTGGAATCCTTTTCTTTCATTGCCTGTTCTTCTACATATTTATTTGTATGATCTCAGTTTCATTTTGAAAAGCATAGAAAAAGGGCTAGGACACTACATGAAACAGAGAATGCTTCTTTCTGAATGGACTGGATTATAGATCTTCCCACACTTTCAAAAATTTTATTGTAATCACAAAATTTTATTTCATAAAATACTAGCAAAGACATTATAATAGGATTTCAAACAGAATCCCAACTGAGATGTTGGAGAATCTGGTAAATGCCACATCTAACTACACTTAAAAGAATGTCTTTGCTATGTACATAAATCATCTCAAGTGTCAGCATGTTTACTTCTTTACCATGAGACTAGTTCTTTAATTTAATTTTATTTTTTTTTTAAGATTTTATTTATTTATTTGACAGAGAGAGACACAGCGAGAGAGGGAACACAGGCAGAGGGAGTGGGAGAGGGAGAAGCAGGCTTCCCGCCGAGCAGGGAGCCCGATGTGGGGCTCGATCCCAGGACCCTGGGATCATGACCTGAGC